CCGCCGCGCGCGCTCCCGCCCGGCCGCCCCCGGAGGCGGCCACGCCCCCGTCGTCTCCCGTGTCCAATAGGCGCTGGAGGGCGGGGCAGCCTCGGGCAGGCGCAAGAGAGGCTATATAAGGAGCTGCTGGCGCCGCGGCTCGCTCTTTTACGTCGGACCGGGGAGCCGCCGGCCGGAGGTGAGTGGGTCGAGCGGGCGAGCGTCCGCGCCGGAGACGGTGGCGCAGGCCGAGGCTGGGAGCTCCGGTGCCTGAAGCGGTCTTAAAGGTGGCGCCCAGGAGTGCTAGCGATGAGCTTGCGCGGGGGCACGCGCAGCGGGGCCGCCGCGGGTCCTGAGGTCGAGTCGTGCCGGCGACAGGCTGGGAGCGTGGGCGTGAGACCGCCGGGGCGCGCGGAGCCTGAGCGGCCGGACGGCGCGCTTCCAGGGCTGGGGCTGAGGGTCTGCAGGGCGAGGGGCCCCGGAGGGCGTGGCGAGCGCCTTTCTCCGGCCAGCAGGACTTCACCCCGTTTGGCTCCCCGGCGTGGTGTGCGCTTCGGCTGAGCGGGGAGGAGGGCCTTGCCGTGTGGCCTCCTGGGCGCGGGCGCCGCGGCGCGTTCGGGCCATGTCGGAGCGGCGGCGGGGCGGGGCGAGGGGACGAGCTGCTGTGCTGGGTTTTCAGACGGGCGACGTGAGCCCGTCGAGCTGCAACTTAACGTGCCGCGCCACTTGTTATCTGCTTACTTCTTCTCAGACACGCATCAGAGAGTGGAGCCGAGCCTGTGTGAGTCACAAAGACTCAGGCCTAGAGTTTGGTTTTTACCGACTCGTGTATTGTATCTATAGTATACACGGTCGTGACCAATGACCTTGATTTTAACTATTTTCCTTTTCCTGTATCTGGCATAGCATTTATAAGAGACATATAAAGATGACATAGAGACAAATGTAAAGATGAGAAAAAAAAAAAAAAAAAGCTTGAGATAAAAACTACAGTATCTCTATGGGTTTTCTTGCAAATGCATTT